AGTATGACAGACCATGAAATGATAACCCTAAGATATAAATTGGGTGGCAGGGCCCTGGAAGTTTGGTTCTCCACCCTCCTCCTTTCCCATAGGACTGATAACACCTTGCCCCAGTTGAAACCCTCTCCATAAACAACCACCACAAAACCTAGAAGCAGTAAGCAGCAGATGAGAGAACGTCCTCAACCAGCCAAAGCAGACATCCCCTTCCCCCAAGAAAAGTCCCCAGCCTTGTATTGCCATGTCTAGGCACCCACCAGCAAAGAATGACACAACAGACTGACCTGCGCAGCCGCACAAACACTCCCGTCCTCACATTCTAGCCTCTTACACCAGTTGCTATTAATACTTTGAAACAGGAAGAGGCCGGGGGGGGGGGGGGGGGGATCCCTACGGTCAGTTACGCAAAGGGCAAAACAAGTAGTTTTTGCCAGGCATCAAGATGTCGTGTTTAACTACACTTAGCCGCCTCATCTGCTTTTCCAAAAACGTACAAACAAAATGAGATTTCTGGATAGCTCTCATTTCCGGTTCCGATTAGAATCATCCCCCCCCCCATGCGGGGCAAGAAGGGTGGAAATACATCAGTGAGACAATGCGAACAAAGCAAATAGGGTTAGAGTCCCTTTTCGTTGCTATGCTTTGAAGCAACCATTCACTCCACCCAAAACTCTTTCGTCGTTAAAGATACAGTGTTGGAAATTCCTTTTAAAAAGCTGTGACCGGCAGAAATTCAACTGGTGTAGTTTAGCACATGTGTCTGAATGGGGCGGCGGTGTACCTGTTGAATTTCTGCTTCTCTTTAAAAATAAGAGATAAAGACCCTGCCCCCAGTATTTTCTACTGTGTCCTTAAATTAAGCAGTCACCAGAAGTCTTTCTTGCTGCTACTTCATCTGTCAAATTTCTGTTTGGTATGAAACATTTAAAAGCATGGGACCTGCCAGGGGGGGAAAAAACAGTCAACCTTGTCTAGGTTGGGGTGTGTGTGTTTGTATGTGTGTTTTTAAACTTAGATGACATGATTATTTCTAAATCCAGGTAGTCAGCCGTGTTGGTCTGAAGCAGTAGAACAAATTAGGAGTCCAGTAGCACCTTTAAGACCAATAAAGGTTTATTCAAGGTATGAGCTATCGTGTGCAAGGCACACTTTTGCCTAAAAAAATATTATTTCTAATAATAGATTATTTCTAAGCACTGCAACGAAGGCTAGTCTTTGAGACTGTTGCATTAATACCTATGTGCTTTCACGCTGTTGCCCCGCATATGGAGAGATGTATTAACTACAATTGGAAACCGGACATATTTTTAGACACTAGTTCTCGTTAGTCCTCGAATCTCTTTAATCATAGAACAAAAGGTGATTGATTCTCCTTGCTACCTATAGTAGCAGGCAGCTGCCATGCGTCCCCGCCTCCTTCTCGGATTAGCCAGTTTAGGACAACAATACAGCGGGTGTTCTGGTCGCTGAGAGTGCAGCCCTTTTTGGACCCTCAAAACGAAGGAAAGGGCGGGGCAGAGCTGACGTAAGCATTTCAGGTAGGGGAGGGACGAGGAAAGAATGGGGGCGGGGCGTTAATGCGTGGAGAGACCCGAAGGAAGAGGAGCCTCTCGGTCCAGTGGAATTCCCGCAGGCAGGTGGTCAGTCCTCCAGGCCGCCCGGTAGGCTCTCTCGTTGCCCGGAACGCAGCTCTCGGTGTTGAAGGGGCCCTCCAGTGTGCTTCAACTTGCATTTCCAAGATCTGCGGTTATGATATCGGGGATATCTTGTTCTTATCTCTCCTGTGTAGATTTATTTAGAAGCAAATTCACTGATTTGCTCTCATAAGCCTTCTCTTCGCAACACCCCCTGGCAGTCGATGGGGCGGTTGCAGCTTTGCAGTGGCTGTTTCATACAATGAAATAAATAGATAACCACCAATTTACTGTCTTGGACTTGCTTAGGTTGTAACAGATTAGAATAAACGCATAGTTAAAACCCTGTTAGTGGAAACAGTTGCTTGTCCTTCAAACTGTCTGCGGTATGTGAGTGTCAAGATAGGTTTGCCTTTATCTTTCTGAAATACTAGATAATCTGTGGCTGGTTCTCGATTCTATTATGTGTGAGTATACACAGCATATCTGTGAATAGCTAGATTCAAGTCCAATAGCACCTTGGAGACCAGCAAGATATTCAGGGTACAAGACTGCAGAGTCAAAGCTCGCTTCATGAAGTACCTAAGAAGGCTAGTCAGATCTTGGTATGGACCCATGGGTTGCCTATATTTGGAATTATGAATTCTGTCCCCAGGGAGATCTGTCTGTCCCCCTCCATCGTTCAGCGGGGGAAGGTTTATCTGTTTTGTCTAGTATTTCCTCTCTGACCTTCCTTCCTGTGGATGGGCCTTGTTTAATGGTGGTTTTTAATTGATTTTATAGTATGTATTTCAAAAGCTTGTTTTAATGTTCTTTTATTATTTGTTTTCTTGGGGAACTTAAGATGGGTGGGCATACTAAAATTAAGGAAAGTGATTGCCAGTAGGGAATACATAGAATCATAGAATCATAGAGTTGGAAGGTACCTCCAGGGTCATCTAGTCCAACCCCCTGAACAATGCAGGAAATTCACAAATACCTCCCCCCCAGTGATTGCTGTTCCACACCCAGAAGATGATTGCCAATAGAGAATACATGATTGCCCACAGTGAACAATGGAGGGTGTGCTTGCCCACAGGGAATAAAGGGCAGCACACTTGTATCTCTTATTTTATATTTATATCCTGCTCATCCTTTAAAAAGATCCCAGAGATCACCAGTCCAAGCAATGACTACAGTTGTATCTTCAACAATGCTGCAGCCTTGGGTGTTCTAAGAACCAGTTCTTATTGAAGGTTAAAAAACTCACACAACTAAATAAGTAGGTGGAAGGAAGGAAGATGACAGAGGCCTTGGTCAGGCCTCACTGGGGATGAGCTCACCACCCGCACAGAAGTCTAACTGCCTGCCACTGTTTCATGGAATAAACACTGTAGTCAGTGGACCCAGGTTCACTTAGTAAATCAGCTTCAAGCTGTAAGAGAAAAAAATAGTTTTACCTTTCTGAACTCTGTTATTGTTCAATTATAGCAGCATAAAGTTGTACTTGCCTATTGGCGTAGGCAGTATTAGTTATCAAATAAATCTAATGAACATTTTAAAAGTTATTCCCTGAGCATGATTGCTGCCTATCTGAATTTGGTGGACTTGATACTTGCTGTTGATTGTAAAGCTTTCATAAACTATAATCCTCATGAAAAATAGGCATGTACACCCTGTGCTTGCCTTCATTTGACAAAAATATGGGCATCAGAGTAGGAAATTCTAATTCCATGGAAGTGAAAGACACCTTTGTAAACTTCTCTAGAGCCAGTTTTCATAAATTTGTTTTGGAACATGGAGAAAACTTTTTAAAAGTTATAAGTAAGACCAGTATAATTTCCATATTTCAGATGTCTTCATCTAGCTGCAGTGCTACAGACCATGTAAAGACATAATATTAGATAGTTTCAAGTCTCCATCTAGCTGACCTGCTATAAAATTTTAAATTGTGTGTTTAAAGCTGAAACTCTCCAAAGTTTTGGCCAAACTTAGAAGCCAGTGAGGTTTTCTAGGACTTAAGAGGGAGAAAAACCAACTTCAGCATCCAACCAAAGCACAATCCTTTTTTGAAAGGTTCTTGACTTGTTTCCATTATCATTTAAGAAGTTAAACTTCTAATCAAAATCTGAGAACTAAAAACGTCCTGGCTTCCCCTCTGTGTGGGTTAAAGGAGGAAGACAATTTGAACTGTCTGTGTAATAAAGGTCATAAGCCATCTTTTTTTTTCAGGGTTTCTCCATCATGATCATGATTGAAAGTGTTGACTCAGTTGTCAGTATTTCCAGCCAGGACCTTTGGGCTGAAATCTGTTCATCTCTTCCACATCCAGACCAAAATGAAGACTCATGCAATGCATTTGCAGATTCTTTTACGGATTCTTTCTTTCACATAGAAAGCCAGAATGAAGTAATGGATACCTCTTTCCAAACAAACTTGAAGCCCTGGGCTCCTCTAAAAGATTCAGAGGTCTACTTGGCATCTTTAGGTTAGTGTCTCTCTTTGAATATTGACATCTGTGCAATCTGTACTTAATCTTTCAGGGAAGCATATTGCATGTAAGTATTAATGTAACGTATGAATGAAGGAAATTATTGTGTGCATGTCTTTGATACCTAACAAGGTATTAGTGCTGTGTAAAACTGAAAATGAAGGCTGTATTTTAGAACCCATTTCCGTCAAGGTAAGCTTTAAGTTGATGGAGTTGGTCTATGATAGGAGGACACAAACCACGAAAATAGTTAGCATTGGCCCCGGTCACACGGGAGGTTTTGGGCCGGAAGAGGGACGGATCAGGGGCGCAGCAAACAGGCACGAGCACACCTCAACATCTGGGAAGCGGCGCACACCCGTCCCCGATCCGGCCCTTCAGGCCGAAAATGCACTGAAAAAAAGAACCAGCAAAAGAGGAGGACTTACCTGAAACGGCGCAGCAAGCGCGGCCGTGGGATCGCCGGCGCGCCTGTCTTCAGGAGCATTCAAGGCTCCCAGCTGAACTGTGCATGCGCACACATGCACAGCCGGCTGCCTTGCGCTCCCTTCCATGGCTTTCTCCCCGGCATCTGATCATGCTGGGGAGCAACTGCGCGGCGGCTCACGGGATCTGTCTGACCCCGCAACTGCGCGGCAACTCATGGGATCCGTCTGATCCCACCACCGCGTGTTTCTTTTGGTGCGGCTTTGGCCGCATCAATTTCCCCCCGTGTGGCAGGGGCCTTTGTTGATCTTCTTGTAATTATTAATCTCTACCTCATATATGCCTTTTGAATATTTTTGATACTTAAAAAATAAAATATAGCCTTTTTTAAAAAATGGAAGGAGTAGAGTAATTTCTTCACTTTCCTCCAGACTTGATAGAAACACCATGTGCGCAAGAAAAAAAGAATGTTCAGGCTATTCAATTTTATTTTATCTGTTCCTTGATAAAAGCCTGAAGGGTATATGAGATCATTCGGTCCAGTATCTCAAGCTAAGAGGGAGAAATGGAATTTATCTTTTCTGTCTAGTTGGGAAAGAGGAAAAATGCCATAGCTTATAAGCCCAAACAACAAGGGAAAAAGACTAGTGTCACAGGAGTCCCACATATACAAATTCCACTAGTAGAAAACACCATCAAAGATTGCCAAAACAAAAAGAATATTATAGAATGTTCATTTTAGAAAAATAGAGCCCTGTAAATGGGACTAATCTATATTGGATATACCTGTTTCTTTCCCTGTTGAGCTTTAAATTGGCATGCATCTTCGCCTGTATCCTTGAGAACCTGTGATTCGCCCCTTATACTATGAACCTTGTGGTCTGTTGAAATTGCTGAAATCAGGGTGAGTGTATTTTTCAGGCATGTTTTTTTGAACAATTCTGTTTTTCATGTGTGTTTTCGTGGCTAGGCATTTGTGTAAATCTCTTCACAGTTCCACTCACACAGCTGGCAAACTGAAGAAGTCGAAGGAAACGCATCTTCCAAATATCTAGAATGGGCGTCTTTGCAAAGGCTGTTTGGAATATGTTATGACTATGTGGACTCCTCCTATCAAGTTATCAAGTTACACTGAATACATGGACTTTATGTCTTACCTTCAAAGGAGGAAATATTGTATCTTATGCCTTAGTTATAGTTATAGTATGCATAAATGTTGTTGTTGTGCTACCACCAACTTTATAATAGCTTGTAAGCAGCTTGAGTTTCCAAAACTAAAATATGAAGGTTTTCATGATGTCGTTCTGCATGGAATACCGTCAGTTGATTCTTTCCTTTCAACTATTGGCAGGCATAAGGGTGAGCGGTGACTCCCCCAGAATGCAATTTCTACGCCTTCTTATAAGTGTAAATGGCGCTCTGATGTTCAGGTATTTCAGATCCCGTTCTTAATGTGGGCTTTAAAATGGGAACACAAGCAGGCGGTGAAGAGAGAAATACTTCACTGAATCAGCATGTGCTCTGGTTCCGTTTGCTCTCTTGACAAAAGTGAACTGAGGATGTGAAAGAGAAATCTCAGGATATCCCACGGTGTCAAAATGGATGCTTTCAATGGTGTTTGCTGTTCATATGAGAGGCAATCTGATTGTTTCAGTGGATAATCCCTGACTTTTAGTCGGCCTCCTTTCCCCATTCTGTTCCAATAAAGCACTTTCCCCTTCTATCTGTTTCTAGAGAGAAGATTGATGAGAATAAAGGGTTTGTCTCAAGAAGTGACTTCCAAGGACATGCTGCATACCCTTGCTCAAGCCAAGAAGGAATGCTGGGATAGGTTTCTGCAGGAGAAGTCCAACTCTGACTTTTATATGGAGGGAACAGAACCTGATGAGAGGTGATAACATGGCAGCTAGGGCCTGATTCATGCAGTGCCTTCAAAATGTATGTCGTAGAGCCAAACTACACATCCTGTTGGAGATCAGTGAATAGATCTCAGTGGTTTTCTTTTCTGTTTTACTGAAGGGCAGCCCAGTTTGTTTCCAGCAGTGGTGCCTGCATTTTTTTTCTCCTGTGAGTCTGATAAAAGCTTGTTTTGTGAGGACAATTTAGAGAGCAGTTTCCTAATCTGGTCTACTTAAAGTCCTACTCAGGTCTATTAAATTGTGCTTACACCTAGGGTGATGTTCTTAGGATCACATCTTTAAATGGGAATGGTTTAAACACCTTCTGTCACACCCACAAATGGCCACTACTAGCCTCCTTTGGCTATACATCAGTAAAAATAAAAGCAGTGCCTGGAGATTTAGTCACCTTTACTGTGTTGCACTGTGATTCTTATATTATGATTGGCTAAGGGAAACCTCTTAAGAATGTATGTACATCTCATTCTGAACCTGGTCCCAGGGTGTGAATTTTTAAATATCTGCAGAATGGGGCCAAGTAAAACAGAGGGAGATAGTTCTCAAATCCGGGGGGGAACCCAGGCTTTCAGAAAAAATCCAAGGGAAAAAAAAGGATTAAATCTTAATACTGAGATTTTGCGAGTTTACCTCACAAGATTTTGGCATCTCTGGATTGTTTGCAGTTGTCTAGACAATCTATGATTGTCTAGGCAAACCAAAATGTTTGCTGCAGAGGTAAATTGTATGGGAAAGGATAAGCAGGAAAGACAGGAAGGAAGATGGGGGGCTGAAGCAAAGTCCTAGTTGAGAGAGCAAGGAAAGAAAAATGAAGCAAAGAGAGGGGGGGGGGGGCTGGGGGGGGGGGGGG